TGTGTGTGTGTGTGTGTGTGTGTGTGTGTGTGTGTGTGTTGGGGTGAGGGGTGGGAGGTCAGATCTGTGAAAAATAATAAAAGAAAAGAAAAACTGTATGTAGCTTTGTAAGTCCAGGCAATACAATACATAGTATAAAGGCTTTAATTTCTTAAATAATAAAAGACAAGATAAAATATGAACAATGAACATAAGTCAATAGCACAAGTAGGGGTCTCTGCGGACAAGTGCGGACGAGTGGGCGTGTCACAACGAAAGGTGATTCTAAAGCGACACACCTGATTTGACGGACTTTGTTAAAGAGACACACCTGACTGGACAAGCAAAAAAGGGGCGTCACCGTACGGCACCACCTGATTGGACAAGAATAAAAGGGGCGTTACCATACGGCACCACTTTTTCTGGAGACCCCTACTTGGGTCACATTTTTCCTGGTTAATCTTAGTGTTGGGGTCAGGGCCAGGCTGTAAAGAGGTCAAGCAGGATCTAAGGATACCATCATGTAGGCCTCGTAGCCCAGTGTTTATGGTTTAGACACGCCCACTCTTGTGACATGCCCACTTTGATTCCGCAGATAACCCCATCTCCAATAGAGGGCTATCATTTTAATCAATCAAATCCCTTTTGTCTTACTGTGAATATTGACATCTATTTGATCAACTGTATGCTGGGCTGAGGCAACATACAATCCATATTTACAAAAGTAAAGAGCACTGTGTGATATTGTAGTGTTTTAAATAGATTTTAGATACATTCAATATAATCTAACACAGCAGAATATGTTAGATTATGTTACACAGAAACCTGCATTGATTGACTATTTAAAAATATATAAATTATTTTTTGCAGGAATAAGTGAAAGAAAATAAGAAGAAACAGGAACATTATGCTCCAACCCTTATATCTTAATGGTCCTAATTTAAAGAACAAATTCTAATACTCAGTCATGTGATTTCTTATAAAAATAGCTAATGGTTTGATATAAATTTTAAAGAATACAAGAAAACAAAAATTTTGCAAATAAAGCAGAATCCTGTTAGGCTGTTGTGTTGAACTGAATATCACTGGGTTTCTGTACCTGTTTCAGTCGAGAAGCTAAATGTCAGAGATAAAAGAAAATGAAACAACTCTCTCACTCTCACTTTGGCTTACTTTGTGTGAATCACACACAAAAAAAACAATAATTCTCGCACATACAGTATACTCATTTCACACAGTGCAGTGCCGTCCACCTGAAATCCTCTTGTGTGTGTTGTTTATTTTGACAGCAGAGGATTTTAAGCCAAAGGGGTTTTGGAGCCTCACAGCTACTTTAGAAAAGCCCTGACACAGGAAGGTGATGGGAAACCAGAGAGCCCAGTCTTCACCTTGATGGAGCTTTGCCACTCAAAATAATAATAATAATAATCAAAATGTTTGCGTTGGATTTACTTAAAAAATTATGTCAATAGGTTCTACTCAAGTGAATTGAGTAAATCTAACACAATTACTTCACATTCACTTATAAAGTAAATGAAAAAAATTGTTTTAGATTTACTCAATTCAGTTAAGTAGAACCTGTTGACAAAATTTATTTAAGTAAATCCAATGCAAACATTTAGATTTTTTTCTTCAGAGTTTAGAGAGGTTTTAGAATGGCAGTGAAAGTCTTTTGTGAATTTGCTCCTTGATTCATAAAACATGAGAGTGGAAAGGGCAATGACTTTTTTTTAATCAAAATTTGGATTTATTTTTGTTCACAGAAAAGAAAAAAGTAAAAATAACAACAGATTGCCAACAAAGCTTTACATGTTTCTCCTCTGTCCTCAGGAGTATACCATAGATGTTTTCTTCCGGCAAAGCTGGAAAGATGAGAGGTTGAAATTTCATGGTCCAATGAACATTTTGCCTTTGAACAACCTCATGGCGAGTAAGATCTGGACTCCAGACACCTTCTTCCACAATGGGAAAAAGTCTGTGGCTCATAACATGACCATGCCAAATAAGCTGTTAAGGATTCAAGATGATGGGACACTGCTGTATACTATGAGGTAATAAAAAATAGCATCTTTATGTCAGATGAAAAAAGTTGCACGCTTGTATTTATGAGATATTCTGCATTATTTGTACTCCAGAAGTTGTGATTCCGATTTCATGGTATAAAATAAAATCAAACATTATGCCCCCAAAGGTTTTATATTTGACTTGTACAATCAGAAATTCATCACCAGCCCAAACTTAAAAATCCAGTATTGGCTGACTAGTGCATTAAAAGTGGTGACAGCTGCAGTGATTTTTTTAATATTTTCATATCTGTCCAGATATGAAAGGTCCATTATACTAATACCACTGTCTGTTAGGAAAACATAATTTGTTGCAATTCATAAACTGCAGAGACACATTATGACTAATAATACATAGCCTACTGACCAAGTCTGAAATGCTTTTGTTTTTTTAAACTAACAACAACAACAACAACAACACAAAAACACATAGTTAAAGTGGACATGTCATTCTTTTAAATTCTTCCTTTTCACATTTAAATCATTTGTGGTATGTAAAGTGGAACTGCAATGCTTGTGTCTGAATTCATTATTATAGTTCCAGGCCCATCTTTTATCCCTGTTCTGAGGTGCAGCTAAGGGCATCTTATTTAGGAGCGGTCCATTTAAATATAAATGAGGCACCTCAAATCCCACCCCACTCCCCTCCCAGTGATCACAGTCCAATCCACCCTGTTGGTCTATTTTTGTAGTTTGATAGTAGAGTTACCAGTGGCTCATAAACTTTTTATTTACAAATTAATGTAGATGCCAACAACAACAATCTTCCAGTCCATCCAGTCTATCCATCCATCCATCCATTTTCTGTACACGCTTCTTCCTTTTCAGGGTTGCGTGGGTCACTGGTGCCCATATCCAGCAGTCACAGTGCGAGGGGCAGGGTACACCCTGGACAGGTCGCAAGTCCATCACCGGGCCACACATAGAGACAAACGAGACAAACAACCATTCACTCTCTCACTCACACCTAGGGACAATTTAGAGTTATCAATTAACCTAACAGTCATGTTTTTGGTCTYTGGGAGGAAGCCGGAGTACCCGGAGAGAACCCACGCATGCACGGAGAGAACATGCAAACTCTACCCAGAAAGGTCCCCGGACCGGGATTTGAACCGGTGACCTTCTTGCTGAGAGGCATCAGCTCTACCAACTGAGCCACCGTGCTGCCCAATCCAGTCTAACATACTGTAAAAAAAATAATCAAAAATCAGATTTTTGAACTCGAGCGTCAGCTGCTTTGGACACACCGCATGCACAAAAAATGCTTATACCACTACTTTCCGCTTCTTTGTGCACTGCACTAATCGGACATGACGCGCCGCGAGACCCCTAGAGGCGCGTCTACCATAGACTTTACATGTAAACCGGCCGCTCCTGCAACTCAAAATGCGTTCGGTGTGAACGTAGCATCAGTCTTCCAGATCAGTAGTCTTCAGTTATTCCAAGTGGATCACAACCATCGGTCAGGGAAAACAAGAGGAAGAGGACTCTGTATGTTTGTGTAGGAAGTTTAGTGTACAAACTGTGGACTGGTAAAAAGCTATTGCTCTGAGACGATAGAAATTATTACAGTGAAAGGCCGGCCGTACTACCTTCCACGGTGACGTGTTTGTCACGATTGTTTACATTCCCCTGGATGCTAATGTTAACTAACTATCAATGATGGCAATGTATGACATCATTAGCTTGCTTCAGATAAAGCACCTGAAGGCATATTATGTGGTTGCAGGGGACTTTAATCACATGAAACTGACAGAAACAAATTTTTACCAGCATGTCACTGTTCCCATGCGGGCAGACTACACTCTGGACTACATGTAAACTAACATTCGCGGTGCATACAGAGCTCTTCCTCGCCCCCACCTTGGCCAATCTGGCCACATCTCCATCCTGCTTGCGCCAGCTTATCAACCGCTGATTAGACAGATTGGGCCAACTAAGAAAGTAGTCACTGTGTGGCCCAGGGATGTTGCTGCTGTGCACAAGGACTGTTTTTTTAGTGCACAGAGTGGCAGGTCTTCAGAATGGCGTTTAAATTTGAGGTACAGGTGGACCTGTAAGAATACACCTGTTCTTGCTTCATCTCCAACACTAAAACAGTCACCTGTTTTCTGAAACCGAAACCTTGGCTGAATGCTGAGGTGAGAGCGCTGCTTAAAGGGATCCACAATTAGTTGTAACATTAAACTTTTTTTGATCAACATATATTTTAACTGTAAAATAAAGACTGTAAAAATACTGTTGGCTGTTTAGTTTGTAATTTTTTTTAAATATATTTTAACATGGACGGAGCCATTTTATTTACACGCAAAGCATTCTGGGTAAATGATGACATCAACTAGGTCATTGGTGCGAGGCTGCTAGCGAGCTACATCCACCCTGAAAATTAATCTTGGATAAAATCTGATGATGACTCTTTTAAATGAAACCAGAGAGCGTTGACAGAGAGGAGAAGGTAGAAATGACTCAGCCTGTAACTGAAAATATGGATGGAGGACAACAGAGCTGCTTCATGGAAGAAGAACCTCAGCTTAGCCTGTTAGCCTTCGTGCTAGCCCTCACGCTATATTGCCTTATATGTATTAGCTTGGTGCTAGCGCGACAAACAAGCTAAACTGAGGTCCTCCATTCATATTTTTCAGTTGCAGCTGAGTCATTTTTGTGTTCCCCTCTCTGTCATGTGGATGGAGGACCTCAGTGACAAGAGGAGAATGTGAAGCGCTGAACTAATACATATGGTGATAGCGTCGGGGCTAATGCTAAAGCTAACAGGCTAAGCTGAGGTTCTTCTTCCATGAAGCAGCTCTGTTGTCCTCCATCCATATTTTCAGTTCCAGGCTGAGTCATTTCTACCTTCTCCTCTCTYTCAACGCTCTCTGGTTTCATTTAAAAGAGTCGATCATCAGATATTGTCCAAGATTAACCTTCAGGGTGGATATAGCTTGCTAGCAGCCTCATGCCGATGACCTAGTTGATGTCATCATTTACCCAGAATGCTTTGCATGTAAGTAAAATGGCCCCGTCAGTGTAATATATTTTTAAACTTTTAGTTCAAAAATTATAAAAACTGAACATCCTACAGTATTTTTACATTCTTTATTTTACGGTTAAAGTATATGTTTATCATATAAAGTCTAATGTTACAACTAATCGGGGATCCCTTAAAAACTAGGGATGCTGCGTTTAAGACAGACGAGGCATCAGCACTCCGAGAAGCAAGGAAAAGACTGACTGCAGGCATTGCGAGGGCCAAGGTCACATATGCCCAGAAAATGCAGGGTCATTCCACCACCAATAACCTGCGATGCATGTGGAAGGGCATCAAGTGCATCACGGACTACAACATTAGAGATGCAAAATGCTCAAGTGACCCCTCATTGCTAGATGCACTAAAAAAGTTATATGCCTGCTTTAAGGCCCTTAACACAGCCCTCAGCACCAGACTTATACCACCACTTGGTGACACGCCCCTCTATGTGACCACAGGAGACATGAGGAAGACCCTCATAGAATCAACTCCTGTAAAGGGCTCGACACACGGGGAGCGACAAACTACAGCGATTAACGGCTGTCATCGCATCCAGGGTGAAACCTGACACACGGGACGCGATAGCGATCGCAGCGTTGCGAATCGCGCTCTTAGGTTGCTTGTCTTCACAAAATTTGATTGGTTCTTGACTCTGAAGGGGGGTGTGCATTACGAACGTGTAAACTTAACAAATCTTGCCAATGCTAATGATATTGAAAAACAAACACACATCAAGATACAATTTTATGAGGAAAAACTTACCATAAACCTCACCCTGGTGCCAATAAATTCCCACAAAGCTGCCTTTTTTAGTAATCACTTGGTGAAAGTGTCAGCTAACTGCAGTGTGTAGCATACTCTCCTCTCATTGGTCAGCCAATGAAACCCTCACTGATTGGTTGTACGCTAAGAGACAGCAACAAAAGTTGAACATTTTTCAACTTTCATATGTCGCGTCGCAAGCTCGCGTGTGCACGTGTACGAGCGTGAAATTTCACATGCACTATTTTCGCCGGTCGCTTAGCTGGAGGAGGGCAAGCGATTGTCGCCTCACCGCACAGGCTCCATAGGAAATGAATGGACAGCGAGCGACGTCGCCTCCCGTGTGTCGAGCCCATAAGGCTGCAGGCCCCGAACAACCTCCCAGGGTGTGTACGGAAGGACTGTGCACACCATCTGTTTGAGGTATTGGCAGACATCTTCAACACCACACTGTCACAGGCATCTGTCCCCACCTGCTTAAAGACTCCCACTATTGTCCCCATCCCCAAATGCTCTACAGAAACAAGCCTGAATGACTACCGACCTACAGCCTGAACATCTGCCGTCATGACATGCTTTGAGAGGATAGTAATGACCCACATCAGGGACTCCATCAGCCTCACCGTAGACCAACATCAGTACGCTCCACAGCTGACGCCATCTCATCTGTGGTTTACACAGCCCTCACCCACCTGGAGAGTAAAAACTTTTACGTCCATCTGCTCTTCCTGGATTTCTCCTCAGCCTTCAACACTATCATCCCACTGACCTTGGTGCAGAAGCTCTCCTCTCTTGGACTGAGTCCCATACTAGGGAACTAGGTCTAGGACGTCCTGACCAACAGACCTGGATCAGGATCCACAATACCATCTCCTCCTCTATCACTCTCAGCACTGGCTTGCCCCAAGGGTGCATGCTGAGTCCCCTCCTGTTCAATCTGCTGACATTTCTGCTCAGCAAGACACCCCAGCTGTCTATAATTTTATAAAATTATAGCAAATATTTGTCATTTGCACAGCACAAAATAAATGAAAACTGAGTTTTTTATCAGTTAGACTGACTGATTTATTTTATAAAATTACTATTTTGTTCAAATAGATTGTAATGTATAGATGGTTTCAAATCATGTAATCATTTAATACTATTTATTCTTCATAAACATTTATTGAATTGTATTTATCCCAGAGCAGTTCTGTCACAGTATGGTTCCAAATATAAGCAGGCATAGAACATCCAAAACCTTGTTATTCTCATAAAACTGTACAGAAGATTTAAATTTGTATACTTAGGCATCTGTCCCCACCTGTTTGAAGACTCTTATCCCCATCCTCAAATGCTCTACAGAGGCAAGCCTGAATGACTACCGACCTACAGCCTTAACATTGGTAGTACAAAAACATTTGAAACATGCTTACCTAGAGAACATGGTATTTTTGTGTGTTTTGTACGGAGGGTAAACATTAAACCGAGACTCGTGTTTGCTTTAATATCATCTGTTAGAGTTCGGGCTCTGAAAGATTGATCTGTGGACAATGCATGGCCACTTGGTTCTGTTTCTGTTAAAGTTCTACAGTTTTTATCAGACAGATTCCTGCACATCTACAGCAGGTAAAATAAGTATTGAACACGTCACCATTTTTCTCAGTAAATATATTACTAGAGGTGCTAATGACATGAAATTTTCACCAGATGTCGGTAACAACC